TGTGGAAACATTTGTAAAGGAGAGCCCTTTTACCGTTGTCTTGAGTGCTCCATCAATTTCCATTTGAAATGTGTTCCCGCACCTAATACTGTTAAATCCAAATATCATCTTCATCCATTGACCCTGACGGATTCTTTAGTTGAAGATGATTCTGGAAAGTATTATTGTGATTTTTGCGAGGAAGAAAGAAACCCAAAAGATCATGTGTATTATTGTAAAGAATGTGACGGTCAGACCATCGCTCACATAGAATGTGTTCTTACTAGAAAAGTAAGTTAATTACATCTAATTTTTTAAGTATAGAGATGAAATATGCGTCTCTGTGGCAAATATCTAACGGTTGTAAACAGATTTCGCAGAAGAAGCGACGTGAAGAGCTCCAACCACAATCAATATTTCCTGCTGTTGAGGAAAAGGTGCATTTTCTCTTCTTTTTTTTTCTTTTTCTTTTTTGTTGATATGCTTGTTCAATTGTTCTCATGACGTTCAACTACTTGACCTCAGCTGGGAACTATTCCGGCCATGGTTAGTGGTGTTTGGAGTGATGATAGATATCTGCAGCTTAAGGCAACCACTCAATTCAGGAAATTGCTTTCAATTGGTGAGAAAATTATGCTTCAAAATATTTGGTTTGATACTGATTTAAATTATGTACTTCAAGCCCCTTTGATTATTTATCGAAGAACCAAGCCAACCTATTGACCAAGTGATACAAGCTGGAGTTGTTCCTCGCTTTGTTGAGTTCCTTGAGAGGGAAGATTTCCCACAGCTTCAGGTTGGATTTCCTGTCAGCAGAGCTTCAATATCATGTTTTTACTAGTTGTATACATTTTCAGATTGTTACTAATTCAATAATTATTTAGTTTGAGGCAGCCTGGGCTCTCACAATTATTGCTTCAACGACATCTGAGACCTCAAAGGTGGTAATTGATAATGGAGCTGTTCCAATATTCGTCAAGTTACTTGGTTCCCCAAGGGCTGATGTTAGCGAGCAGGTATGCATATGGAATGAATTCATTCACGTTTTACGATCTTACTTAGTATAAATGAAATGTTTTATAATTATATTTGTTGTTTCGAAATCCAGTCCATGCGGGCTTTGGGAAATATTGCTGGTGATTCTCCTGCAACTCGTGATGTTGTTCTTGGACATGGTGCTTTGCTGCCTTTGTTGGCTCATCTGAATGAGAATGCTAAACTTTCTGTACTGAGAATTGCCACATGGACCCTCTCAATGTTTTTGAGGGGAAAACCCCGACCCTGCTTTCATCAGGTTAGACCCCACCTTCTTTGTAAGATGGTGGTGGCGTATTTGTCAGATTAAACTATGCATTGCAATGAAGTGCTCAGATTAAACTATGCATTGCAATGAAGTGCTAACATTGAACTAGAAAGTGATGTGTATTGATAATTATAATCTTACTAATTATTCAGGTTAAACCTGCACTTCCTACATTGGCACGTCTTATTCATTCAAACGATGAACAAGTCTTGTGTGATGCATGTTGGGCATTCTCATATCTTTCTGATGGCACAAATGACGAAATCCAAGGTGTTGTTGAAGCAGATGTATGCGGGCGTCTAGTGGAACTTTTGCTGTGAGTTAGAATATTTTATGTTGATCGATTTTGGGTGCCCATCACTCTATTGATTTCTGCAGTATTTTGCTGGTTTTCATTACCAAAATCATAACCTGTGTTGCTTCCTTCCATAGGCACCCATGTCTTTTGGTGTTAGAACCTGCTCTTCGCACAGTTGGAAACATTACCTCTAGAGATGATGCGCAAACCCAGGTCTTGAAGTCTTTGTTCTATTTTGATTACAGTCTGCATATATATAATATGAACCATTCTGTATTTTCTCATATATGGGTAAACCTCGATGCTACACAGTGTCATGCCTTTTGAAACTTTTGTCGAATAATTACGACAAGAGCATCAAGAAAGAAGTTGTCGGACAATCTCAAATATCACATCCGGAAATAAGGAGCAGATACAGGTACCTTTTGGACCCCAATCTTTTTCCCCCTCGATTTATCGATTTCGGATCCAAGATTCTGTTTGCATTCATTTGGACAATGAAACGATATGTAATGGTATGGATTTTACAGGCTGTGATTGAATCTGATATAATTGCTCCTCTGCTTCATCTACTACAAAGTGGTGAAACACTTGATATTAAGGGAGAAGCTGCACAGGCCATCTCAAATGCGACATCGGGTGGGTCTCATGATCAGATCAGGTATGAAAATGGTTTCCTGTATATATATATATATATATATATATACATATATACATATATCAATGATAAATTACCTCGTTTGGTGTGTTATATTTCAGGTTCCTTGTAAGTCAGGGTTGCATCAAGCCGTTGTGTGATCTTCTCTTATGCCGCGATCCAAGTATAGTTAAAGTTTGCTTAAAAGGGCTTGAAAACATTCTTAGGTAGGAGAAGATGATAAAACTATGGGCACAACCGGAGGAGTGAATCTCTATGCACACATGATTAGTGATGCAAGGGGTCGAGAAAAGATGGAGTATATGCGGTCTTTAAACAAATGGAATTATGAATCTCATAAGAGTAAATTGTCTCCCGACGCCATTGAGATTTATGAAAAGGTTGTGGAAGTTCTTGAGAGATATTTGTCATACCCCAACTTTTGGATTCGTTATTCGATTGCTTAGATTAATATCTTGATTTTGTTGGTCCGATTACATCAACCTTCGAGCATGGAGAAGTCTTTGCTTGCCAGTGTTGAATCTGAAATTGATTAAACGTTGATTGATGTCAGGGTAATGCACCTGAATCCTTGTGCACCTTTGCCTATGTTTTTGCAATTTGTGTTCTGAACTACATAATTCATTAGTTGATTGTCACACATGTTTCTGGATTATCTATGAGATGTTCGAACATATTTCATGTATCGTGACTGTCTGTACTCGTAATGCTCTTGAAAGTACTTTGATTATTGTATCACATGTCTTGTGTTTTCCTGTAATATGTATAAACATGTACACTTGTCTTGTTTCATTGGTTGAGATGTGGAGGAAGTTTACTGGTCCACCATTCCTATTTTAGTAGTTTATTGCTCCTCGTGGTGTATCCGTGATATGATTCCTACAAACTATTTTTCAAATTTTCTTGGTCATCACCATTATTAATGCGATTCGTAGTATCTTGTTTGGTGTTTGGTTGACCGCACTGGGCTCCATAGCTCACCTCTCTATTCTTTTGCTTTCAGATATTTCAAGATTTTAAGATTGAATCGGGATCTGGAGATAGAGAACAAAATTTGGCTCGACTAAAAAAAACTCAACTCGAATTGACTTCTATTTCATAAACTCGAAAAAAAATAAAGTTCAAATCGAGTTGTAAAATACAACTCGAATAAATCGAAATTTTTAGTAATTAGTAGACCTATTTTCATGTTTGAGTCGAGTCCCTTAACTTTATATGATATATGTATATCACATATGAAAAAAATAAAGAAATATATATATATAATTGAAATCAAATAATATCATAATATTATAAATATTTATAATTAAATTTAAACAGAAACTCGAAAATTTGACTCAACTCGACTCGGAAAAATTTCAAGTCAATTTCGAGTTGTAAAATAGGATTCATCAACTCGAATAACTCAATTTTTTTAACTCGACTCGATCGAACACCCACCCCTATTTGAATGATCAAAGTCTCATATTTAAATTATGTTTTAATAACCAAACTCTCTACATTCATACTTTATTTTAATTGTGGTATAGGACGATACAATTAAATTATTTGGAAAGACATTTCTATTATATTACATGTATTAATGTGTTATGATATAAAACTCAGATAATATCCGAAGATCGTATGAATATTTGTTAAATTATTTAATGATAAAATGATAATAATTAAATAAATTATTTGCAAAACTGGTGACTTTCAAGATTCGATTATAGCGTCTAACCCAAGTCTAGAAAATTATAATATTGGTTTAATCCTGGAGGGATGAGTCCTTTTACTTTTATGGATATATGTATAGAAAAGAAAATATCAAGTTATGTGTTCAATGTTATCTTATACATTTTAATTATAAAATATAAAGATATTAATATGAAAAGTATATTTTTTAATATTGAAATTAAGTGACCCGAGCTCTTAAAATATCATCCCCTAACAGACCCCTACACTATAAATTTTCACCACGGAGAAACCTTTCAATTATATACATGTAAGAGAAAGAGAGAGAGAACAGAGAATATTCCATTGAAGCAACCATTATGGTTGAAAAGAACTAAGTGACCTCCGTAGTAAAAAATGTATTACTATTTGCAACCGTTGTTTGTTTAACATGAATTAAACAAGTGTATTATCGATCATCAGGCAATGTCTTGCCTGATGATCGATAATACACTGTGCAGGAACAAGGTATTGGATTCATTTTGATTATCATTTTGTTTATTTATAGTATGAACCATTTTCTATTTTCTCGTATATAGGCAAACCTTGTTGCTGCACAGTGTATTATCAATCATCAGGCATTGCCATGCCTTTTGAAATTTCTGACCAATAATTATGAAATTAGTATCAAGCGGGAAGCTTGTCGGATAATCTCAAAAATCACAGCCGGAAATAAGGAGCAAATACAGGTAACATATGGACCTCAATCTGTTTTCCCCTTGATATTTCACTCGATTTTATCGATTTCAGGTCTAAGGTTCTGTTCGCATTCAGTTAGAAAATGAAGTGATATGTAATGGTATGAATTTCAGGCTGTGAGTGAAGCTAACATTATCGCTCCTCTGGTTCATCTGCTTCAACATGCTGAATTCGACATTAAGGAAGAAGCTGCACTATATCAAACTCGACGTCTTGTGGGACTCGTGATCAGATATGGTATGAAAAAGGAAAGAGTACATTCCATTGGAGCAACCATCAATGTGGCTAAGGCCTAAAGACAGGGTGATTGCAAGCAGAAAACATCATTGAGATAATTAATCAGAAAAAGCCTTGAAATGCACATCAGGGATGGACTCCACAAGGAGGAACTGTGGAAGTGGTGTCGAAATCTAAGAAAATAAGAGAGGTGTTATCCTTTGTTCGCAGAGTTCGAGCCTCGTTCAATAAAACATCAGCAATCTTCTCTGCCAAATTCCCCTTATCGTTCGAATATCTCTCCCTCATCTAACCGGTAAAAGATAAGATCAGGTAAAAGAAAGTGTATGGTATATACTATGTTACAGTAACAACAATAATACCTGTACAACTATCTGAATTGCCTTCTTAAAGCTAATAACATCCCACAATCCATCACTGCACAAACCAGATCCACATTTCAACTATGTGACAAACAAAATGTCCAAATAATAAACAATACAAACAAGAAAAATACAACTCCGGGAAGGTAAGCAAAACAAAAGTTCTAGTGATGACCTACAACGTATCATACTTGGTAAACCTGTCAATTGAACAATCCGATCAGTTTCGGGTCAAGTCAATCTGGATTACTACTTTGGGTCTTTCAGGTCATTACAGGATCAACTATTTCAAGTTGTGTTTGGGCAATTTTGGGTAAGAATTTGTTTTGGTTAAACTTAATTTGGGTTTGAGTTTAGACTGATCAGTCAGGTTTTTAGGGTTATGTCAGAATGAGTAGGTTTAATATTTATGTGAGATCTATTCAAAAAATATATATTTATCTGAACTACACAATAAAAATAAAACAAAAGGTTTTACTGGCAAACTATACCGGCTTGGGAAGCCGGTGTCTAATATGGATATCCTTTCAATATGGGCATGCTCAATATTTCTTAAAGTTTTTTCATATACTTGGAAGATCATAGCCCTCATTCCTATGTCCAAATATATGTCAGACACGAGTACTTTAGGAAAAATGAAGAGTACGAGTGAAGTAGATGAGAAAATACCACTACAACATCGGTAATACATTTTATTATATGAAAATTCCGACAGTGACAGAGAAATAGTCACCTTGCCAGTAGCGCAAATGCCCTGCTTGTTTTATTGATACGCACAACTTGACTTATATAGGGCTCAGAACTAAAGCGGGAATCTTGCTGTTTCACAAATTTGTCTCCAAGCATTCTAGCGAGGTTCAAACCTGAAATTAAATGGTCAAATATGAAACGATGTACCTTAATGCTTTGATGCTGCTGAATCCTGAGTGTAAATATTACACTGGCATACCACATAACCGTGTTTCCCCGTCTTTTAATGGTTCCCCAGTTCCTTCCATTCGGACTCTTTCAGAATAACTCGATATTTTATGGTCTTCAGTCATCTTAATCTGTTTACCATCCACGCTGTCATAAAATTGTATATGGTCACAAGTACAAATACGAAAAGAGAAGCATTCATTATAACAGTGGAATTTGATCATAAAATAACTTGGTAACCTTACAGATCGTACTAGTTGGAATAATAAAGAAGAGAAACGCATACTTAATAAAACAAGCTGAATCTCCAACATTTGCACATTGTGCAAATAAACTGTCATCAGCATCAGCCCAAACCAGAAGCAGTGTTGCTGTACAGCCCTGCAAGTAAATAACTATGATGATATGCAAACAATCAACTTCAATTAAAGCAGAAAAAAATTATCCATACTTGTAAATAAACCATTAAATTTAGTGAAGACAAAAAGGCCATGTAAAGCCAAAGTTGAAGAAAAAGCAATAACTTGCAGGATTACATTTTATTCAACAAGAGTTGTAGCTTAGTACAAACTACTACAAAATGGATAAGGAGAAATAATTCTATGTTACAAGCACTCTTCAATCTCCTTGTAATGCCCAGGTCTGACGCTTACATCCGACACATATTTGGACATAGGTCGGGGGTATGATCTTTCAAGTAGATGGGAAAACTTTGAAAAAAAAATGAGAATACATGTTTCAGACAGATGGCCATATCTGAGGCCTCCAAATCCATTTAACATAGAGGATGTTAAGGTGTATAAAAGCATTCCACTGCACTATCAGAGATTTCCCAATGAAAAAAAATGAAAATGAAAGGTATGCAAAGTAAAGAGGAGAAACAGATGAAGGAAAAACCTCATAATAGTTATCCATATGTGCTTCTGTCTGAGAGAATGCATCTCTAAGAACATCTGAGCAGTCATGTTGGGAAACAACCCTCTCTCTTTTTACAGAATCTGATAAAATGGTAGCAACCATCTCAGGCAGAATCCTAGAGACCATATGCTTGAAACATTAGCAAAACAGTTATTTAAAAATCAACACATCTAAAAGAATGGCAGAACTGCTAGTATTTTGTCCCATCAGAAACCTTGGATCTAAAAATTAACTTTGTATTGCCATATTAACTCTCAATCTGTAGAAAAAGGGGGAAAAGATGCATATTGCTAGTCTCACCCCTTGCAGACTATGATAAATTATAGTGAACATGATTTAAGATATGTGGAAAAAAAAGGTGTAGCGGATAAATTAATCAAAATATGAGAGGTATAGGAATCAACCCCAAACCATGGCAATGAAACACACTAAAGATGGGATAGGATACTAACTTGCTTGCAGATTTGGCCGCCTCAACACCACCATGTCCATCACAGATGCCAAAAACTCCAAACTGCAACATCAGCACAAAAATGAAACCCACCACTTCTTGGTAGAAGCAGAAAAATATAACTAAAACATCAAAACTTGAAAACCTGATCAATGCCAGGAAGAGGCCATTGATAATAGCAGACATCTTCCATAGGAAACTTCTTTCCTCCTCGACGCAATGACATAGGGTCTGAAGTCATACCAACTCCAAAAGGGACCAAGTGATCATTTTGGGATGAAATATGAACCTATCATGGGAGAAAATTAAAAAGGCGATCTGTAAAAATAGCTTCAAATCTAATATGTCATGCATTACAAACTGAAACGATCATATTATATGCACTGACCACAAAAAAGTAATTATTTAACAAGAAAAGATACCATCAGAAAATTCAAGCTGTTATAAATAATCATGTCAACAATCCCGTTATCCATAAACAATTTGAACTTATTGATTGGACATATAGAAAATGAGTTATGAAACATAAGTTACATAAGCAAATGAGAGTTACAAGAGAATTAATAAATAAAAAGCAAATGGTTATGTACTTTTAGAATCTCAGAAGTATATACTGCTTGTGGCATATGACACAATTTCTTAAAAGGTACCTTAGAGTATGATGAATTAATGATCTTGACCGTCAGGCGATACAAAAAGGAAAGAAAGATGTCATTTCTAAAGTAATGTTCCCATATTATGACAATCTTATAAAATTGCTAAAAAAAATTACTAGTTTACAAATACTCTTATATCCCAAAGAAGTGTGAATAAAGAGAATATCTTGTCCATGCAAAATCCAATACAAATAGATATATTAGAATTTATCCAGAATATTTTGATAATTTTAGAAGAAAAAGTGCCAGAACTATAAGTAGATTGAAAAGCAGTCGACTTACATAAATATTTGAGGTTGTACCAACAGTTATTTTGTCTCCACTTGCAAGTTCCACCGGGTTACCCCATTGCCTACTTCCAGAACCAGGATGATTAATTGGACGAGAATTCAACAGTGTTCCATTCAGACTACCCATGTCCACCAGCTCCCATCTCAATTTCTACAATGTTTGTAACATTTTAAACACTTAGTACACCATACATAGATAAAGCAACCAAATGCAAACTCATGAAATACAAATAAGTTTACATTTGAATTCCAATTTATCCTTGCATGCTTTCCGGAAACCTCTAAATCTTTCAATAATAAATTACTTGGAGGAACTCTTCCAAGGGTAAACGGTTCCTTTACGGTGCTCGTTGACAATACAGAACATTGAAGTCCACAAGAAGGACCCGACACAACCTCAAGAGAGAGGCAACTTCCTGCACTTCTAACAGAAAGATATAATTACATGCTTCACAAAATCCATCTAACATTCCATCTAATAGAAAGAAATCGACCTATTAATCTCCTTATAGAGAAAGAAAATTACTTTGATCACTGGTGGCATTTGGCCCAGACTCCTGTGGCCTATCATTTTCTGCACCAAATGTCAAGTTTTGACTTTGTTTTTCTGGCCTACCATATTTTTGTAGTTGAACAAAGTGCTCTGTCCCAAATGGACGCTTTAGTGTCTCACCAACCAAAATACCCTGTAAAGGATCAGATACATCTAGAACCACACTATCACCTGTACATAGTAAATCATTATAGCTTGTCGGTGTCTAAACTGAACAGTTAAAGCATGACTATAAAAATAAAAATAACAAAAGATGAAAGCATAAAAGTTAATACCCAGAGCCGAACAGGGAGATGCAAAGGAAAGCCGTTGTTTGTGATTAAGTCCTTGAGTACGACGAGGTGACCGCAGAAGAGCTTCAGTTCGGTGACACTGTCCGTCTAAATCATAATTTCTTGTCAAATTGTTGCTTTGATCTAGGGCTACATCTACATCATTTGATACAAGAGATCGCTCCAATTCACCAACCTGTAAGAACAAATGTAAAGGGTCAAATGTATGTGGACCAAAAGAGTTTCAAACAAAACCATAACAGTTTCCAGGTTTTCTTTTTCTTGTTTGGTCCGGGGGTGTTGGACCAAACAAAACAAAAAGATTGAACTCTTTCATTAGTCTTTGTACTATACAAAGTTATAGATTTAGTCCCTATACTTTAATTTGGTCAATTTAGTACCTATGCTTTTCGAGTTTTGAAATTTTAATCCTGGCCCGAAAAGTACAAGGACAAAATGACTAAATTAAGGGAACTTAAATGATCAAATTATGGAACGGGAACTAAATCTACAATTTACGTATATTACAAAAACTTAATAACAAAATACGACTGAACAAATTCAACTGCTACTGTTTAGGTCAGGACTGAAATTTCAAAATTGTAAAAGTACAGGATCAATATCCAACACTTCCACAGTGCAGGAACTAATAAAATAACATGGCCTAAGGTAAATAGTAAATATACACAAATGTTATTACAAGTTCCACATTTAGATAAACAATCACATAGTTTGTGAGGGTCGGTTTGTGTTTGGGTCGGTAGGAGAAAAGATGAAGGAAGTGAAACAGAGAGAAATCAACTGAAGTGAAATTTAATTTCAATATTGTCATTTTAATGTATGAGAAAAGAAATAAAGAAGATAAGTTAATTATAAGATATTAGAATTGTTGATAAGAAGAAGTGTCAAGACCTTTGTCCATATTTCAATCCTGGCCCGAACAGTATAAGAAGAAGATTAGTTAATATATGACACAAGATATGAACAAAGGTCTTGACAATTCTTAAAGCTAATTCTTTATAAACAAAATAAATAATCGTTTCCATTGAAAACAAAATAAATACACCTTCAGCTACAATAATGAATGCATATATATTTCTAAAAATGATAACTCAATAAAGTGTCATTAGGATAGGTATATTTATCTGAACAAATATGCATTAAGTATTCAGTAATTGTCAACGACCACAGAATGGATGTCATGGATCTCGGGGCACATTACTTACCATATTAAATCCACCAAACTACTTGCCATAACTGATATTCATGGTTGAAATCTACAGTTAGAAACAGCTGGTAAAAAGAGAGTACACATCAAATATCATATCCAGAATTCAATAATCAAATTCACATTTGCAACAGCTAATATAAAAAGGATAACATTTTTACTCATCTATCATCTTTAGATCCTATTGAAAAAAAATTAGATCTTCCTCTAACATCAATATAAAATCTACAGCAATGCAATATGAATAAAAAAATACAAAAAAAAAATTAATGAAACGCATTTCAGGACATTACTAATTAACCTCGCCGGATTGATTCATTGCAAATCATTCCCGAAATCATTTTTTAATTGTATTAACAAATAAAACCTCAAAAAATAATTCAGATCTACCTAGAGCTCAAAAGGCGATGATCATAACGCGGATGAAGTAGATTCGGTTAAGATCCAAAGAAAACTTTGCCTAATTAAAAAAATGAATGATGAATAAATAAAAAAAAATACCTTGACGGTGCGAGAGTGATAGGAGTAGAAGAAAAAGCGCCATGGTCTGAAGGCGAAGACGAGGATGGCGATGCTGAGAAGGTTCAACATAAAGAGAATGAGAGTGAAAACGACAATGCTTTGTAGCATCGCCACCTTCGTCCCGTGCTCCCTCTCATCATAGATTTCGGATTGCGCCCTTCTTAGCGAGAACCTCGCTTTGAATCGGTCGCCTCGCACCTCACTGCCTCCAATTTTATCTCTCTCTTCTCCAAATGTCTGTATTAAATATAATTTGTTTTAATTGTTTTTTTTTTTCTCTTCTTCTTCTCTTGCTCAAATAATTAAATTGTTTTACGTAAATATAAAATATTAAGAATGTTAACTACAAGCCTCGTGTATCGACACGTGTACGTTATCTCTTTGGTGGCACGTTTTTGTACCTTATAACGTGGATCGAATTTGGTGGTTCGGTGTATTTTATTATATGGTTAAATCCAACACAAGTCCCCATACTATCTTTTAGATTTTAAATTGGTCCTTAAGCTTCCTAATATTTTAACTAATCACCGTTGTATCAATATTGTATCAATCAAATGCTTCATTGTGCTTAACCGTCAATTTATAATTTAAATGCAGGCCATATATGACAAAGTATATTGAAAATGTTAACGTAATGATCTACGTGTAAATGATAGATATGGTAAAAGAATTTAATTGATTTAAAAAATAAATTGAAAAAACAATATAGTCCCTTGATAATTCTAAAAGAATTCAATTAAACCTTCAAACTTTATAAAAAAAATAATTAAGCCCCTCTGTTATATTATTATCACCATTCACATTTTGTCATATCAATATCACCATTCACATTTTGTCATATCAATATCACCATTCACATGTAGATTACCACATCAACGTAACTATCGACAACGATTATCGTCGATCAAAAAAGAACATCGACATAATTAGCGAAGTTCAAGAGCTAAATTGATAAAATTAAAAATCTGGGACAACATAGTTTCTAATATAAACAACAGACAAAAAGTGAAACATTACCGATATGATCTTTGTGTAGTCCTTCCTAAAATGATATTTTGAATGCCATCACCTAACAAACACCAAAGAAAGTGTACTTATTTGTAACCCTCTGCCAATCAACAACGAAAACTCGATTCTGGTCGTAAAAAGTACGAAGCGATCACGACGAGGAATAGCAGGTGATAAATTGCACTCGTCTTGGAAATCGGACTAGCCGCACTGGTGGTAGTAGTGGCTGTAGCATAGTTTCCTTCAGCTGTGCTGGTTGTCAGGACAACGACGATCCAGTCTCCATCTGAACCGATCCCGATTCCTGTATACTTGGTTTCGTTGAGATTGTCGGAGTATTGAGACTGCGTAAAGTTAGTGAGCACAAGGCTTGGAATTAGGTTCGGGACGCAAGCAGGCATTACTGCGCCATCCCTTGTGACTGAGGCATTCAAATGGCATTTGGCTAAAAGGTTTGGGTAGTTGGGAAACTGTGGTTCGGTGCCTGGAACCGTGTTGGCACCGGTGGAGTTTGTGCAAGGTTGGTTCTTGAATCCATCGGCTAGTTTATCGGCAAGGCACTCGGCGTTATCGTTTTTCGTTAGGGTAGTCAAGTTTAATGAAGCACGATAAGCGTTGATGCCTTTAAGAAGATCATCCTCCTCATCTGTTGATTGTCAAGATGAAATCCGGTGATTAGACACGTACTGGAGTTGTTAACAAAGTAAGATCAAATTTCTGAAAAACGAAACGAAAGAAAGACATTGCAACTCAAAGTCGAACCAATTAATCCATAACAAGGTCAGATTGTTCCGGATTCTTGCACAAGCCAAACCTCATCAGTCATCTTACCGTATCGGAGAACAGCATTTCATATTGAATACAAGTCATTCAACTTGACATACACTTCTCTCATGAATGACATTTCAGAATACAGGAACCGGTACTGTTTTCCGGCTTTCCGCAGTTAGAGAGCAACACAAAAGCTTCTAGTTAAAAGAGTAAAGTGTAGGACTGACAATCTCAAAACCAGATTCTAGTGATCTGGCAGCACCTATGTAGCTTGGAGCTCTTCATTTTTCTTAAAGCATCCGATACATTCTCGTATCGGACACTCACATCTGAGTTCGAGTTACTCAGGGAAGCACAGCATACTTTTACAAGAACCGAGAGAAAAACAATAGCACAGTCAACCTTCTAAAGACTCACATACACACCAAATATGTCAAAATGATAACATGTTTGATCAAATAGATCCTAAATGAACCCTCATGTTAGCTCATGTGAGCCTAATTCCAATTGCTGATCTCAAGCAATATATTGAACACACACGCAGATTATCATGCGGTTCGATCTATCGATCCACGACTACACATTACTACTTAAATTTCAAACGAAATAGCAAAGCTATTACGATGTTGTCGATAACTACCTCACGGTTGTTCTAATTAGTTATGCTCGATTTTCTCATCAACCAAAGAAACCAGAACGGTGTTTTACCTATAAAAAAATTAGTATAAGCTTTGAATGTCAAGAGTTGAACCTATTACCTCAATCTTCTTCAAGGGACTAAGATAAACCCTAATTGTGAACTTACATGAGTTGCCAGACTAACACGTTTCCAACTAGCATTAACATCGGATCTATTCGATATCAGTTAGATCAAGTTGTCATCTAATTTTTATGTTTTAACCCAATCAAAGAACAAGAAACAAGGAATAATGATAAGCAGTATGAATTGCAACCATCCAAGATCTTCAGACAACAAAGACCAAAATGCTACAACAGAACATCACTTGAAACACGTTTAGGCTCATAATTCGACAAATAACATACACACATACATGCGCACATGCATACATACATACATACATACACACATACATACATACATACATACATACATATCTACAAGATGCATCCAAATGAGTTCTAAATTGGGTTCATAGATATGGATGAACAAGTAGAAAAAACCCAGATAATACCCACATTGAAAAACCCCATAAAAAGGACAAATAACACAGAATTCAGAGAAATAAACAAGGTAAATGGTAAAAAAAACAGTGCTTGAGCAACAAAGCAAAAAACCCATATCCAGAAGTTCAAAAGAAAGGTTTACCAGCTTCACAGAAGAAAGGGGAGCTGATGAAGATGATGGAAAGGAAGAACGGGAATAAAAGAGAAATCTTTGAAGATGCCATTGATTGATGCTGATGAGATATTGAGATGGGGAGTTTTGTCTGAAACAAAGCAGAGGGTGAGACCAGGAGGGACCGACACAAATTACAACAGGGTTTTTCAAACCGCACCCATTTTTTTTTGTTTGAGTAAACTATGCAGATAGTGCCTTATGTTTTCGGTATGACTGATTTAAATTATTAATTTAAAAATTAAGGGGAAATGGTCCTAGCGTTATCGATCCATTCTACTTTAGTCCCTAACATGATCATCGATTCGTTTGATTTTAGTTCCTCAATAGTAAACTCTCATTAGATTTTAGTCCCTCAGCCATGTTATAGACTTCAACAAAAGGGACTTAGACAAAATGGGGTTAATGAAAATTAATGACCGAGAAAGTAAAATCAAACGGATCGATAATTTTATGGATCATTTCCCCTTAATTGTTAAATTGATGACCAAAGTCGGATAAACCCTAAACATAGGAGACTATCCGCATAGTTTACCCTTTTTGTTTTTACATTTCGGTATCAAACAAAATTTAAATATTTATTTATTCATCTTACCTTAAAAGAGCACATGACGATACTATAATTTTATATTTTTAAAATTATTCAGATCCAATTCCATCGATACTCATTGTATATTCATTACATGAATAAATTTTTAATTCCAAGTTATTCATTTACAAAATTAGTTCAAGATCCTAATCTTATTATACTAACTAATAATTAATTATATCAAATAATATTTTGATTTTATTTATATTTTATAATTTAATTAATAATTATGTGGCACATGGTTTTATTAGGTAGCACTAATTTTGTTGATTTTATTTCTAAATAATTTGTATCAACGTGTCGTTAATTATTATTAGAAATATGAATAAATTATTGATTTTTAAAAAATAAAAAATACAAATGTATTACTTTACTTGCAATGATAATAAACAAATCACTTTGTCGATGTACTATCATAAATATTTTAAAATTCCCTTCATTAGTGTAGACACTCAAGTCACATGTGGCCCATCAGAATACCTCAAGTCCAACACGTGCACCCCAACACTGGACCCAAATCGATCCAATAGAGCATTAAAGTTGGTTAGGGTTTGAAACCCTAACCCCATCCTATCCAGCCGCGCGCCGCAAGCCTTCTCGCCCGAAGTCCCCGTGCATCACGCTCCTCGTCCATGCCACGCCCGAAGTCCCCGTGCATCACGCTCCTCGTCCATGCCACACAGCCGTATTTGATGCCGGTTATCTCGGCACCAACGGCACTCCAAGCAACAAACCGAGAAACCAACAAACATTAAAATCTTAGTTCGAATAGGACTCTAAAAATAGTTTTTTTTTTGTGCTATAAATAACATGTAAACTAGAACGCCAGGGAGGGCAAAAAATTTGGCAAGAAAGACACATACAATATTGAGAGAAATATCAAGCAATTTCGAAGCCTTTTGTAACAATTTCGAAAGGGAAATAAGAAGAATGTAGCATCTTTTACCTCTGTTCGCTCGTCTCACTATTGCATGTTGAGTGTTGCTTGAGATTTGACTTCAAACAAAAAAAAACGTTTTGGCCGATGAACGAAGTGAGGCCTTTATTTTCGAAACCTATTTCCCAGATTTGCGTTTTTTTTAAAGCAAAATTCCAGAAGATCTATTGGGATTTTTGGGCTGTGGGAAGAGAATGGTTTTTAAAGAAGCGTGTTTCAGGGTCGACCATCGCCGATGAGCGGCGGCGAGGCGGTGGCCACCATTCTCAGGCGGCTCACGGCCTCTGTTCTTGGAAGCTCAAGAACATTGCAGAGAAAAGGGAAAGGGAGATGGCTCGGGTCTTTTGAAATGAATCAAATAAATTTTTTTTCTTAATTTTTTCAGCATATGTATCAGACCCACGTGTTTTTAAATAAAATAGGGTAAACTACCCTTTTGGTCCCTCGTATCTTTTGAAGAGTTATTTCACCCCCCAATTAAAATTAACCCTTAATATTGCTTTGAATTTTGACCCCTAGCTTATAGTTCTTTCAATTTAATCCTTTTTCTGGATTTTAATTTTATTTATCTATTATCTTTTTATATTACATTATAATGTTTATATATTTTATTATTATTAGTTTTTTTACACTCGTATATATTATTAGTATATATTATTTTACTTATATGTTATATATATATATATATATATATGTGTATACATTTTGTATTTATCTTATTATTTCTTTACTTTTTTTTCTTATTATATTTATCTTCATTATTTAGTTTTTCTATTACTATTATATAGATTTTTTTCCTCCCTCTCATATTTAGTTATTATATATATATGGTATTAATATTATTATATGTTTTTATTAACTTTATTTATTTTACTTTATACGCTATTATTTTACATTTTTTTAATTTTTCCATTATTATTATATATATTTTCCTCCCTCTCATATTTAGCTATCATATATATGGTATTGATATTATTATATGTTTTTATTAATTTTATTTATTCTACTTTATACGCTATTATTTTACATTTTTTATATATACATATGTACATTTTATTTAACTCTCATTATTTTACATTTGTATATATTATTTTATTTCACTTTTATTATGCTTTCCTTATTTATTTATTCTTTTCTTTTTTCTGTTTTATTGTGTCTTATTTTCTTATTTTTTCATTCTTTCATTTTTTTTACCTTATCATATGTTGTCATACTTGTCTTCATTCTTATTTCCTTCATGTTCTATATCTCCATGTCGATTATGTTACCTTTAGTGTATCATTTATTGTTATTTTGTTCTTCATTTCGTTTTCTTTATTTTTTTCAATTTTAATTTATTTTTATCACATTTTCTAATACATATTTTGACTCTTAAAGAGTTCACTTTCAAATCAATCAATTGTAAGTAGTCGAGATCGCTATTTTACCTCTTAATTTAAATTTACATTTTTTTCTTAACTAAAGACAACTGGAAATTACGTAGTACCGAAAGGGCAGTTCAAGGGTGCTAACCCTTCATTGACTGTAACCGACTCCCGAATCCGACGCATCTTTGGTAAAACGCAGATCAGGTAAGAAATAGGGTATCCGATCAACCCATTTATTTTTAAATAAATGATTGGTGGCGACTCCAATCCACATTTTTCAAGTCCAAACCCAATTACGGGGCCCAACCCGAAAGACGGTTAAGACAATTAGAAATAACATTATAAATATATTTTATATTTTTAAATAATATTTAATTTATTAAATAACATTATATATATATATATATATATATATATGATTAGAGAAAATTATTTTTATAGAAGTCATTAATTTTATTTAAAATAGAAAATATCCCGAATTACAATGAATATTTATGGTCATAATCGTAAATCGTAAATTAAGCACGTAATTAAAATAATTTTCTATAATCATTGAAATAAAAACTAGTAACTTAAGATAACATAATGATCATACAAAAAAAGATTAAAAACCTAACCAAGAAACTCGAACAAAAAAAGATACAAACAGATCTGATCGCATCTGCAAACGAACCGCAAAGGGAATCAAGCTACTGAAAGACCAACGACAAACCGCAAATCAGACTCGAGCGACATGAAAAGCTACCCACAAACGCAAATCGGGTATCAAATCCCATCTGAGGGTCCAAAGTAGTGAAGATCAACAAGATATCATATAAAGGTCATCTTAATTAGTCGTAACGATATCAAATCAACCCTTATAAAAATATAAATTAAAAAAAATTCAAACAAAAGACAGATGATATGCCGAAAGACATATGAAAATGTGTCATATAGACAAACTTATTGAAAATAAAAAAGAAAAGAAAAGAAAATGACAATAAATAATTTTTGTCAGTCGGATCAACAAAGACCAAAAAGAAAAATCATTTAAGTTAGAATCAGATTGTATCATAATATTATAAATAACTACAATTAACTTTGAAAAGAAACTCGAACAACTCGATTCACAGATTTTTAAATAAAATCTAAATCATAATATAAAACCCATCAATCTGACTAATTAAAAAAATTAATTCGGCTCGATTGAATATTACCCCGTTGTATCACGTCTCAAAACCTACCAAAAAGTAAATCCTAACCTAATGATATACTTGAGTGCCCAAGCCTCAATCCTCTAATCTTATTTTATGACCAAACTTGGTTCCCAAAATTAGGGTTCTCCTATCTTAAAAGAATGATAATTACATATTTATCCTCCAAGGATACCCAGCCACAGGTATAATTTGTCCTACAACTTGGTTCCCAAAATTAGGGTTCTTCGGTCAATATCAAGTCTATCTAAAAAAAGGGGTTTTCCTTCATAATCACTTCCAAATGATGGCCAAACTTGAGATCATATGCCAAAAATCATTGTAAACTTGCTCTATGTTCCGTATAGGTCGTGTATAAATTAGTGTCTTCAACGGTGGATCACACATTTGCTTCGTATGTCGATGAATCGAATGTGTGATTAATAGAATGCTTGAGGAACACTGCGTAGAATAGCTCGTTCCATGCGTCGGGTACTCCGGGTAGGCACCAATGACTGCAGTCCTGCCGATGAACAGGAGCTGGACTTTCCTTGGGACCTAAGTAATATAGCGATGCATGACCGTCTTTCCTCGGTGCTGTCATTTGAGTGACGCTTAATATGTTGAGTTTTATTCCATTTGATGAATTCGATTGGGCTGATAACACGTCCTCCACTATTTCGAGAAGTTCCCAAGTTTCTGTTGGCACCGACGACGTTCCCAGCTCCGGCAGCATCTCTAGGTGGCAGCTTCCCACGGTTTTCCAATCTCCTCTGCAAAAGTCACCATTTGAGTGTAGCATATGAATATTCAGACAGAACAAGAAACCAAATGGGAAAAACAGAATCATGTCATAAACTTCAAGGCCGATTTTCAATGTCGAATATTCGATTGTTTAAATACAGATATGCAGAGGTTGAAACAAGCAAGCATGCAAATTGACAAAACTAAAACGAACCTGAAATGCACGGGAGAAAATGTGCGGAAGTAGACCTTGCTCTTACTTGTGTTCACCTCATTACGTATCCACCGCATCACGGTCTCTAAAGATCTCCGATATGCATGTTCTACCGTCATCTCCGTTTCGATTTTCTTCCCTTCTTGAAAGAAACATCCCCTGACGCACACAAATGGGAAAAAAGATTAAGATCAGATTATCGCAGTTCCTTCCATCAATTACATCAAGCATACATGAATGTATATGATTACTACAAGCACCGACTCTCGATTTCGAATCACTACCGGTCTTCTCTATGTTAGTCGTGACTACGGCCATAACGACCCTACTAATATAGAAGCAGAGTTCTACTAAAGCAACTTATCTCCAATGTATAACAATATAGCTTACATTCTAATGGTCTTCTCATGATTCCACCAATGAGCGGTGTTGAAGACCAGGAAATCTGCATCTTTCCACCTGATAGAATTCCAATCCATTTGATCCAACTTGAGGGTTGTCTTGATGTTTTGCGGAGACCCGGGAGGCGGCCTGCTCTGTAAGACGAGGAAAGGAGATCGGTAGTACTCGACCGTGCAATTATAATCCTTGAACTTGAACACCAAGAACCCTTTATGCTTCGTGATCGGATTGCCATTCACTTCGTATATCGAATCTTTATTATCGACATCGGAAGCAAGCATGCAGAGGAGCGATTCCCATTGGTTCCTTCCGATCGAATCACCGACGAACACCAACCGCTTGTTCCGCAACATCTCCAACATCACCTTCCCATCGAATCTGTTTGATCAATGCAACACACATAAATCGAGTGTTCATGGAAGGTAAGTTGAATGTGATAGACAATTCACAGTCACTCAATCCACAAGGAACTTGAAAAAGAACAGAAATGAACAATTGATAAAATTGACATGAAAGTAAAAAAGACAAACTTTAACAAAAAAGGCAGTCATTTTCATTGGACATATAAGCATAATATTAAATTGATGGAATGTGTCGTAATAGCCGCATCGTAACGTTTATCAAAATCACATCTATAATTTAATATTAATTTAATATTATGCACATAAGATCTATGACTAATAACTAAACCAACAACATTAATACAAACAAATAAAAAACACATCAAAAATCAAGGAGCTAAATAGGAACCTGGGGAGGTTACAATGCTTAGGCTGCCACCTCCACTTGGTGTAGAACAAATCCAGCCGTCCATTTTCAGTACACCTAAACCCTTCATCAAGAAAGCTGCAATCTTTGGATTCATAAAGAGGGTACCTTTCATCCCATACCCAATCACCATCGAACACGTCACACCCTTCGCCTTCAAGGCTCAAGAAATCAACTCTTTCAATCTCACTTATCGACGAAGAAGAAGACTCATCTAGTTTAAGCCACATGAATCTTTCACCCAGATTAGGAACCATATACCCTTTAGCCACAGCCCTATAATCCAAGTAGAAGAAGCAACAAATCACACAAACGGAAACGAGGAAGAAGCCGAGAACACCCACGGATGGCTCGAGGAGTTTGAAACGCTTGAACCTCGTGCAATGATCGAAACTTGGCATGGTTTCATGGTCTTGTTGAACCGGAACTTTACACATTTGGATCGTTAAAATGGAACTGTAATCTGGGTTTTGTTAATTTTCAAAAACTGAAGAGAAAAAAGGGGCTGAAGGTCTGCTTTTCAAGCAAAATAATGGTGGTGAACCACGTTTCTGTAGGGCAGTTTTGTTTAAAGTTATAAATGATGGGCAGCAAGAGAGAGAGAGAGGGTAACAAAAAACAGAGGAAAAGGTGTCAAGGAAGCAAGGGAGCATTCATGGTGGAGTTAAAGAATCAAAAATATTATATAAACTACTGGTAAAATGGATTAATTTCAAGTTCAAGAATTGAAAGCAAGAAGAGAGATCATGGGAAATTCAGGGTTTATAGAAACAAGAAGAGAGGATTTGTGGGATTAAAGACATGGTGTGGCTAAGTTTTTGAGTTACAGTTTCTTTTCTGAAGGAAATTAGTGGGGGAGAGGGCGGGGTTCAGGGGAGGTAACGGATAGAATAGAATTAAATACTATTATAATTTGATCCTTTTTAATATCCTTAAAGTAAAAATAAATATCTAAATTATGTTTTTTAGGTACTTAAATTATTAGATTTAATTACTTTAGGTCCTAATATTTCAGTTAGAAAATCATCTTCCGATAACCTAATTTAACTAAAAAATCTTGATTACGAGTAAAAATTATAATACTTAAGTCAAATTCAAATCGTTCAAAAATCTAACCCTATTTGACTTAAACTATCCTAAAGTACATTTATAATTACAAGTAATAGTTTCCTAAATAAACTACAGTCAAAAATTTTATTGCAAATCACATTCAAATTAATAATGTAAAATTAATAATGCAATATTGGACTAATTAAATGAATATGCACATTTTTTTTATGTTTATTTAATAAACGAACATGAACATAAACAAATGTGTTTTCAATTTGTTTATATTCACAAACAAACTAGTTTACTCGGTTCTCTTTTTCTTTTTATTTTTTTACATTTTATATATTGGTGAAGATAATGACTAAATTGAATATACGGTGAACTTTAAAGTTCAAACTATGAATTATAAAGAAATCAAGGATTTGTCGTGTAATTTTACCATTTTTTGCTTACAAATTAAAGGATAAAGAGTATCGGTTGTTTAATATTAAACGAATTTATTCATGAATGCTAAATGAAAAAATATGATACTAAAATTTTAAGTAACACGGACTGAATATAAATATCTTCAACAATAAATAGCCGAAGAGGAACAACTTTATTCGTTTAAATTAGATTTATTTACGCCCGTAATCATGGGTGAATGTGATTGCACAGTAAAACAAATCCGACCGTGTTGGGTTGAGTTGCCGGCTCGGCTTTGTTGAGGAAGGCTGCAGCACTTACTTTCTAGCATAAAAGTACCGCTGATATCATTGTACACTTGGGGCAAAGGAACCTCACTTCTCCTCTCCATCATGGGAATGAAATTCAAGTAAAATAAAACTTCGATCTTACCATTTACTTCCGACGATGCAGTTTGGAGGCGATTTGTCCGGCATCTCGATAACGGACACAGACACGGATGTTCTTCTGCACCCGTACTCACGGATAGGGATGGCAAACGGGCGGGTCGGGTGTGGATACCCCCTCCCCCATCCCCGTACCCACCTAATATTTTTCAATCTACCACCCGCCCACCACCCATGATGGGTACAAATTTTCAAATCCACACCCGCTCACGTGGGTACATTTTCAAATCCATCCCCACACCCACTACCCACTAGCGACATACCCATCTAGACCCGTCTGACAGCAAACTAATGGGATGTTGGAGTTGGTTCCCATACAGTTCGTGATGGGGTAGCAACGCATGCTTCAATTTGTCATAGGAGTGGCTCTACGAATGTTATGGAGACAGATTGTAGGGAGCATGTAGTCGTAGAGCTGGATTGTTGAGTTTCTTTCGATATTAATGCTCATAGTGCGCCTAATATGGTTTTAAGGGGATAAAGAACATGAAAACTGCTGCTTTTGATGTTAATGCATATAGTATGACTAATTTGTGTTTGGATGGGCATCATGGGCTAAAGAACATGGAAAGTGACGTGGTTAGTGGGATTATGGCTTTAATCAAAGAGCCTAATATTTCCCTAATTAAAGACCAAATTAAAGACTATATATCCTTAATATTTGGTTAAATTATATGTTATATATTATACAATATTAAAATTTATAAATTAGTCTCTAAAATTACACCTAAATTCATAATGGTCCAAAATTTAATAGATATTTAGTTGGTCGGGCGAATGTGGGGCGGGCGGATGCGGGGCGGGTAATGTCTCAAACCCATTACCCGCCCACCATCCACGACGATTACCACTTTATAAATCCACACTCGCCCACTACCCGCTAAAATTATACCCATCTCCGCTCCAATTGGAGCGGCTGCGGTGCGGAATCCACGAAACTGTATTCGTTTGCCATCCCTACTCACGAACTGCTTCGACAACAAAATCCCTTTGTGTGCTAGAAGTATGCTTTGGCAGACCAAAAGATAAATATTGTTATACGTAGAACTTCAAATACATTAAAACAAAGCATCTTTGAAATATTACAGAAAATATATAGGGAGCAACTAAATTGTAATGCAATATAGCAATGCACTAATATGTTGTAGAATTCAATCACACACTAATGATACTATGGGTATGATGATCAATTCACTTGCAGTCCTAGCTCATAAGTAGCCGTTACGTTTACATTTATGAGTCCGAAGGTGATTGCTGCTGCGGTTGCCACACCGGCTGACCAGCATAAGGGCGAGGGTTTTGGCCATAGAAGGCATGGTCCATCATTGGCTTACCGACAGTCATACCCGGGGCACCAGCCTGAGGAGCAAGTTGAGGTGGCATGTAATAGTAAGGAAGACCATCAGCTGGACCTTCAACTCTTGGAACAGATGCAAGAACCTCGTCTTTTATATCCTCCCTCGGGACGATATCGACCAGAAAATCGAATATATCGGTCCTCGTAATTGCTGCTCCAATGTCATTCTTCTGAAGAGTCCTCCTCTTATTTTCCTCGGTGTGATTCCATGACCTCAGTGTCAACTCTAGAATGAACATTTCACAGGCCCTAGCAAATACTACCGGAGCTTCAGCTGATATCATCCTAACATCCTCATCTGCCTTCATAATCTTCTTGATCCTGGCCAGTGGTAGGCTATGGTTTCTAAAATCAGTAGTCTGCTCGATTTCTTGATACTGGTTTGACCAAAAGTGCTGGAGGTGTTGTTGCAATTGCTGCTGCTGCTGTTGGTGTATGTGCTGATAAGCAAGTTGGTGTTGTGCCAGCTGAGTTGACGGTGCAGAGGCGCCTGCAGGCTGAGTAGGGGATTGGATTGAACCAGCCGACCCGGGAGCGGAGGTTCCCAGCATTTGATTAGGTTGATAACTTGTTATACCATACGGAACCGCTGCTGCACTACCAACTATGCCCGTTGCAGAGCTCTGCCCATGCCCTTGCTGGTCCATACTGGTTGATCTAGATTGACTAGGAGGTGCCCAGCAATAATTAATAAACCATTAGGCATTTATAAAAGAAAATAAATAGATTGATTCACAGAACCTGGAAACAATGATAACAGAAGATTGTTTCAACAACTGCATCACCATAAACTACTATCCTAAAAGGAAATAAACAAAGTATAGAGAAAATGGATTTCCAGAACCCGGAAAAAATGAATCGCTCTTTATCTTGAAGGAAATCAAATTACCAACTAATTCATACTCAGCAGTGAAAGAAAATGGTAAGAAAAGTGGACAATCAAGACATTTCCGGTATTTAACCGGTAAAAGCTCAACTGCAAAGAACTCTAGCTATCCTTTGTAACGAACAAAATAAAAACTACAGAAAAATTTTCGAACTTCGAATAAGCATTTGCTGGTTACAGGTATGGTAACAGATTAAACGAGGACAAGATGGCTAAATACATTTTGACTATAAATGAAGCAATAGTGAAGGCAGAGTTAAATTACTGATGTTTGATTGTAGATTCCACAAAATATGACAGCCAAGGAATCACCATAATCAATGATAATCCAAAACCCAAAGCATGAAACCAATCCAAAAATTCTAAAACAGCATAAATTCAATTTGAATCGTTCATGAATAAAAACTCCAAAACAAAAACAAGCACAGGAATTACAATTCAGTTCCCATACGTAAGCATACAAAAAATACATAAACAGGCATAGAGAAACGTATAAAATACCACAATACAAACACGCCTAACACAACATCTTACTTCACAGGTCATCTTACCGCGTCAATTACGAAGCAAAATCAAATTGCTTCCTTGAATTCTATATTTACGAAAATAGCTAAGAGAGATCATCAAAAGAATGACAAATTAAACGATGATCGAAGGAATAAACTGAGCTATAAAAGTAAAAACATAGAAAGGGGGAAATTGTACCTTGTGCTTGGGATCAGTTGATTTTGCTTATAAATTGGAACCCTAGATGAAGGGGAAAAGGGAGGGGGGAATAATTTGGTGGACTGGTGGAGAAGAGAAGCTGAAAGTGGACACTGTGTTACTATTATAAGATTAAAAGAAGTGAGCACAACCTTCACAATCTCTCCACTTATAACCTAGTTTGACTTTTGGTTCTTTCTTACTTTCTTGCCCTTCATTTTCCTTTCCTAATATATATATGGGTAAATTATATATTTGGTAACTCAACTCTACTTTCTCTCTATTTCACTTATTATACTTTAAATCCTTTTGATTTTCTCACTAAACTGAATACATTGGGTTTTCTTGGTCACTCGACCATTAAATAGTTAACAGAGTTAAAATGGATTGTTAAAGTTTTGGTGAAAAATTTTGTTTTCTTAAAACGGCGTCGTTTTTAATATTGTTAACTATTTAACGACAAAGTGACCAAAATAGGAGAGAGTAAAGTTCAGTGATGAAATTTATTATAATTTACCCATATATATAATTTGTAGGCTTATATAAAATAGATAGGATAAATTATGCCTTTAGTACCTAGACTTTCATTTTTTTCAGAATCATTTATAAAGTTTAGTTTTTATTTTATTTTAGTACCCCCAACATTAAAAACTTTAATTTTTGTTTCATTTTAGTACAGAGTTCAAAATTTAACGTTAAGTTGAAAAAATTAAAAGTTTAGATACTAAAACGGTAAGTTTAGATACTCGGGATAAAAACTGATAAATGGAGAGCTACACACTTTTCTACTATGACTATCAATTTTCTCCTTCAAGGGCTTAATACATAATTGTTCTTCCTCGTGCGATCCACTATCTAAACATTCACCCTTCAATGAACCATGATCTACACTTTTCTTTTTTGATCTATTGTTTGATCACTTTTCCTTAGAATGATCACCCATGTAAATCTTCCCAATGTGGTCTATTATTTACACATTTATCCTTAATTTGTTTTTCAAATAGACCAACCACGCGAGCAACTAGGGATGGGCATTTAAACCCGATCCGTCGGGTTCTGACCCGACCCTAATCGGGTCGGATTTTTCTTTTTAAAAAATACGGATTCGGGTCGGGTCGGGTCGGATTTTTTTATGTTGTGTTCGGGTCGGATTCGGGTTTAGGGTGAAAAAATACAACCCAACCCGAAAATATATATAATTTTTACCCTATATATTTGGGGATAATTACAATAATATCCCTCTATATATAATTTTTTTTTCAATTAAGTCACTATTTTTATTGAATAAAAATAAATTTTTTTATTATTTCGGGTCGGATCGAGTTTCTATGTCATATATTCGGGTCGAGTCGGGTCGGGTGAAACATTTATTTGGTCGGGTCAGGTCGGGCCTCGGGTGAAGGCTCTCTTGTTCTCGGGTCGAGTCGGGTGGACCAAAATCCCGACCCAACCCGACCAATGCCCATCCCTACGAACAACGCCTTTTCAATATTTTTTTATTGAATCAATCGTGGTATCTAACTTGGTTATAATAGTATAAAGACTTATTGGACTTTCCTTCTTATGTAAAACTTCAACTCTTTCCTACATAAAAATAAAATAATGTAAAAAATCATAATTATAAAAAATATAGAGATCCTTGAAAAACCTCATTAAATTAACAACATAAACACTAGATAAGTATAAAAAAATCTTTTTATAATTAATAAATAAAAATTAATTTTCTTCCATGACGACAAATTTAACATTTTAACTACAACACTTAATATACATAACTCTTTCAATTAATCACAATGAATGTACCTCAATATTGATATCTTCTGAATTCATATCGAGATGCCACTTACACTCCATTTTTACTTGTTTTGAAGGAGTAAAATTAAGATCCCATTAACTAGTTCAAATAGGTCCGAAATCCAAGTTAAAATTTATTTGATCAAAATCAATACTAAATCAAAAGCAATTATAAAAATGAATAACAAGTTAAAATTAAGCATCAAAATTTAAAATTGATGATCAATATTTAAATTTGCTTAACAAAAATTAATATTAAAATGATTCAAAAAATCTCAATTAATATCAAGTAAAAATTAAGTATCAAATTGTTAAGATTAATGATAACAATTAATATCAAATGATATGAAATTAATGTTAAAAAATTAATGAATAAATAAAATATTTAATAATATTATTAATTAAAATGAAAGAGTCAAATTGAAATTAATTATCAAAAATAAAAATAAAGTACATATTATAGAAGATTTAAAACCTAGAAGTATGAAATCTAACTAGGGGAAAGTGTTGGGGTTTAAATGCAATTTGGCCATTTAAATTAAAACAAATTTAACCGTGTATAATAAAACAGACGAAACTATAAATGGAGGAAACTATGGGGGGTTTTCATGCAATTTAACCGTCTGAAATAAAACACAAATATGGGGGCTGTAACGTGATATTACCATTAACAAATAATAAACTTACCACGAGACGATCGGAGTGAAATGTGAGGCCTTACACGCGGCGGTTTGGCTAGGCCGGCTGACGGTCGGGTATGATGTTTCGAATGTCATCGGCGTAAAAGAGAAAAAAAAAAAAAACAAGACGACGAGAAAACAAAAAAAGACGGGACAGAGCTTCTCCTTTAGATAGACAACGTTGGGTGACGCCGAACTGAATTATGACAAACTGGGACGGCAACAGCAAGCCTATATATTAAGACAATTGGTTTTCCGGCATGTCAAGAGTTCATCGACGGTGACCGATTATGATGGTGATTCTATTTTTATAATTTAAAATTTCTATTTATAATCTAATTAAATTACTTAAATTAATTATTATTTTAGTTAAAAAATTATAATTTTATTAAAATTATAATTTAATAAATAATTAATTTTAAACAAATCCTTTTACTTTTTAATATTTACATAATAAGGATAAATTTACTTGTGATATGATTCGATACGTCACTTTAGCGATACGTTGCGATATGCGACGTAAGCTTTAGTGATATCTTAGTATTTTTGTTTTGGGTAAATTACATTTTATATCACTTATTATTAACATTATAAATAAGTTATTAAATTTCAAAAAGCTATAAACTAATCACTTAATTAATCGATTATCATAAACTATTCATTTTATCGTTGAAAATGAAATGGACGTTAACTCTTTAGTTGCAATTAAATCACTTTATTTATTATGTAATAATTAGGTCATTACATTTTTTATTATTAAAATCAGGTCACTTAATTTTACCAATAAAGCTAACGTCCATGGCATATTTAACGATAGAATGACTTATTTGTAATAATTGATCAATTACATGTCTTTTTGTAATTTTTGAAAAATAGTGATCAATTTATAATATTATCAATAATTAGATGATCCATAGGGTGTAATTTACCTTTTTTTGATTTTTCGTTCCTATACTCAAGCCTTAATAGATTCTTCCAGTTCCGACCAAAAAATACAATTAAAATATTGCCGATCCTTTTCTTTGGAGTATTTTCGTCTGGAGGGGAGAAAAAAATGTTAGGAGTGTTTAGCAGCACGATAGTGTCCCCACCGGACGAGCTGGTGGCGGCCGGTTGCCGGACTCCGTCGCCCAAGATATCGGCGGACGCGCTTGTTAAACGGTTCCTCGAGACGAACTCCTCCGCCGTGTCCGTGCAGATCGGAGACCATGTCCAGTTCGCTTACTCGCACCAAAACGAATCTGCTTTACAGCCCAGGTAAAATATTATTCTATTTTAAAATTAAATGGAAGTATTTAAGATTTAGATCTCTGGATCATTTGATCATCAAGTGGTTAAGAACTCGTTGTGTGCGTGTTTTTCATTTCTTACGAATTAGTTCACGATGAAAACGATTCGAATTTAAAACTTTCATTTCTTTGATTATCATCATCATCTCTAGCTTCTAGTCTTCTTAATTTGATCAAAATTGTTCAACTGTTTGGATGAAATTATACGCATATATTACTAAAAAGAAAAACAAATTGTTCTTATTGAAAAGCTTGTAGGCTTTTTGTTTTCACTTAATCTCAAGCTTCTCAGTCCGATCTTTATTGAACTGAGGGAATCGTTGTGATTAGTTTAATCAGATTAATGGATTTATGAGCTACATTAGGTAGTGTTTATCCATTTTTTGGAGAAAGAAAAAATGAATCAACGACCAATCGCGTGCTTGAGATTAAAAATTTTAACACTTTTCCATATAAATTTAACAAGTTATTTTTTAAGGTAAACTACATCATATTTCATCTAACTTTAGTCCTTGTATACCGGACTTCCAATTTTATCAATTATAGTATTAAATTTTGATTTTTGTTTCAATTATGCCACGATGGCGTGATTGACGAATGTCCACGTATACATATCACAAAAATGATTTCGTTTTGATATGAATGTTAAATATTTAATGGCAATGTAGGCAAATTAACCCATTATGTCATCTTTAAAATTAATTTGGAATATACGACAAATGCTACAGTGGATGACAAATTTATCACATCTACATGATGAGTTTGTCTAGATAATGACGAGTTCTAATAAAATATAATTTTTTATTAAATTTTGTCGCGTCTGAGTAAAATTTTAATAAAAAATATATTTTATTAGAACTTTTCATCTCGACGTGATGAGTTCCAAGTGACTATATCAAATGTCGTAATTCCTCAAATAAAAAATCAGGTGTCGTATTAAGCTAAATAATTACTTCTATTGGGTCAAATTACCTTGTTTTAATTTTGAAATTTGACAAATTAATAGCTTAGCATTTAGGATTCAATTATTTTCAATAATCTTATATTCTTTTTTGATTAGTCTGGGGTGATTATAAAGTAGTATATGTTTAGTATTATCTTAATCGATTAAAATGTATGCACATATATTTTGTAGACATCGTTGATCAAATCTAGGATATTCAAAGAAAATAACAATATCTTTTAACGTTTAAAGGATTTAATAATCTTATATATTTAAAATTGAATAGATCAAATCAAGAAATATCTTATAATAGATGAGAAGTTTTAAATTCTTATAATGGAATGGGAAGCGTGGGAGATAACATGGCTGTGATTGCACATTCAGGTTTGAATTTTTTTGTTCTTGTGGGGACCAAACAAGATGATAACCCCATCTCATTAAAAGTCGTATTTTTATCCTTTTTTTTTAGTGGTGGGGTTCCGGTGATTGGTGTATGTGTGACTATTTTAACATGATTTTAATTGAATCCAGATGGAAAGGTTTTCATTCCTTTCAAATATGGGAATCTCTAGATTCAGTTTAGCCATACACGTGTCTAACATCCAGTAGTTCACTACCCTAGTGCTATTGAAAAGTAGACAGCCTGTTTGGATTAGTATCTTTCTCCTTGGCCATAGGATTAGTATACAGGGTTTGATAGAAAATATCCCACTAATAATAATAGAAGGATAAGGATTGCCTATTTGGATTGAGACCCATGTTGATGTTTGGGATCAAAGATAATCTTTGATTTTTTTCGAATTTAGTTAAAGAAATTTAAGTTAATCGAATTAATGAATCTTATATAATTTAAATTTTATTTTTTTTTACTTAAATCGAGTTTAAATTTAAATGTAAATATATATAATGTTATGGTGTTAATTGATTGTAAATTAAACAGTTTTCTCTCTCTCTCTCTCTCTCCCTCTCTCTATATATATATATATATATATATATATATATATATATATATATATATATATCTTTATTTTTTATATGTGATATCAGGGATTTAAATAGCGTTTTCGGTCGCGTCGCGTTTATCGTGGTTGCGGACATAACGGAAGTCATCGCGGTCACTGCGGGTGCCGCAGTCTTGAATTATTTTAAATTTTGCATAACTTATCGTAAAACATAATAATTATAATTATAATTATAATTATAATTATAATGAGTCATTTTTAATGATTTTTAGAATGTTTACTAAGCTAAAAAGGATCTATGTAGCATTAAGTTTATTAAGGACAACAATGATATTCTTTTAGTGAAAGATCATGATATTAAGAGGGTTTGGGGTAGTTACTTTTTTGGCTTATTTAATGACGGTGCCTCTCCCGGTAGAGATAGTACCTCTGATGGGTCAATCGACCATCATACTACGACCAATGAATGCCCTACAAATAGGATTGAGTTTGAGGAAGTCAAAATGACTCTTAGAAAGATGGGGAGGGACAAAACTGTCGGTCTAGATCAAATTTCTATCACTGTGTGGTTGGCCCTAGGAGAAGAGGGAGTTAACTGGTTGACCAACATCTTTAATATTATTTTAGAGACTGCCAAGATGCCAGAGGAGTGGAGAGAGTCTACGGTGATACTAATCTATAAGAATAAAGGAGATCCCCAACGTTGTGGCAACTACAGAGGTATTAAACTACTCAGCCATACTATGAAGCTATGGGAAAGGGTGATTGAGGCTAGGTTGAGACAGGTTACTAGGGTTTTGGAAAACCAATTTGGCTTTATGCCAGGCAGGTCTACTACGGAGGTGATTCATCTACTTCGACAGCTTATGGAGAAATATAGGGAAAAAAATAGAGATCTTCACATGGCGTTCATTGATCTTGAGAAGGCGTATGATAGTGTTCCCCGAGATACGATCTAGAAGACCTTGGAAACGAGACGGATCCCAACTGCTTATATCCGAGCGATTCGTGATATGTATTGTAGATCTACTACGTACGTCAAGACTATAGTTGGCGACACCGAGGCATTCCTGGTGGAAATCGGACTCCACCAGGGGTCGGCTCTTAGCCCTTACATCTTCGCCTTGATTATGGATGACATCTATTGTGCGACACCAGACGATGTTCCATGGTGTATGCTTTTCGCTGACGACATTGTTCTAGTTGCTGAAACAAGAACTGAGCTAAATAGTAGACTGGTTACCTGGAAGACTGCTTTGGAAGAAAAAGGTCTAAGGATCAATATTGCAAAGACAGAGTATTTATGTTCAAACTTCAGTGGGAACCAAAATGATGAAGATGTAGAGGTATGCATAGAAGGACACGTTCTCCCCTCAAAGGATTGTTTCAAGTACTTAGAGTCTATGATACATAAAGATGGGGGTGTGGATGATGGCGTTACACATCGTATAAAAGAGGGATGACTAAAGTGGAGGGTTGCTACCGGAGTTTTGTGTGACAAGAAGGCGCCTCTAAAACTTAAGGGAAAATTTTATAGAATGACAATAAGACCAACACTGCTGTATGGATCATAATGTTGGGCAATCAAGAAGGATCACGTAAGGAGGATGGAGGCCGCAGAAATGAGAATGCTTCGATGGGCATGTGGTAGGACTCTGTGGGACATGACACCAAACTCTGCTATTAGGATGTCATTGGGGGTTGTGCATGTATCCGAAAAATTGAGGGAGGGAAGACTACGGTGGTTTGGGCATGTCCTTAGGAGACAATCGTCGGATGCGGTCAGGAGGGTAGAGTCGATTACAGTCGACGGTGCCAGAAGGAGAGGACGACCAAGGCGAAAGTGGGAAGACTGCTTGAAAACTGATTTGAAGGATTTAACCCTTATCGAGGACATTACCTCAGATAGGAAAGTATGGAGACTTAAGATCATGGTAGCTGAGTAGTACGGGTCACATCTTTATGGTATATTTTCTCTGTTTTTTAATGCCTTTATAGAATTTTCCATAACTTCTACTTTTTATACGTCTCTGTCATTGTAATTTATGAAGGCTAATAACTAGGGTATTGGAGAAATGTTGCCTAAGTTTAGGTTTTAACCCATTTGACCTTATTTCTTCACGTTGCTTGCTATCGTTGACTTCTGTGTATTCTTCTCTTCATGTTTCCTCTTTTTAATTTTAGTCAGATCTTACGTTTCTGTCTATATGCAGAGCTTTTTACGCAGGGATTTAATTGTAGGGATTAATTCTCATTACAGATGTACATATGTAGACTGCATATGTAGACTGTTTGACTATGTATTTATTTTTTATTTTTATACATGCATAGCATTTTATCTTTATTTTTAATTTTCTGACTGTCGGAGGCAGCCTACTACCCTACCTCCCCCTTACCCCATTACATATGGGAATAGGGTTTTGTTGTTGTTGTTGTTGTTTCTATGCTAAAATGACATATATGTAATATAGTTTAACTATATAGAAGACTTTAAAACTCTGGTAATAAGATAAGATAATTAGTTCATGATAACATTGTGAACACATTATTATTTAAATTATTGAAATTAGGACTAAATTAAAAAAAATTAAAGTTTACATTCTAAACTATAGATTAAATTATAAATTTTAAAAATTGGAAGGATAGCAAATTAATATTTCCTTAAAGAAATATTTTATAACTTAATAAAAATGGGTACATAATGTTTTGTTTTAAGACTAATAAAGCCTAAAATATTTAAATCCTAAACTCTATTCTCCCCCCCACCCACCACGTTCTCTCATTTCTTCTTCATTTCTTTATACTCTCACACTCAAGTATCAAAACCAGGAAAAAAAAACTCCAAAACCATAACATGTTATAGCCTAAATCCAAAGTGTGAATGTTTTTCTTTTTTTCTTCAACAATCTTAAGCTCCGACGAAGATTCCTTTCTCCGATTACAGTGAATTTCACTCGGCGAGACCCACAAAAAGGTTTGTTCTTCCTTTTTAGTTTTCTATTTTCTTTTTCCTTTTAAATCTCAACATGCATATATAAAAAACGTGAATTTGAAAAGAAAAAAAAGGTTTGGTGACGATGAACACAAAAAAATAATATTTTCTTAAGTTTTTTTTGAGTAACGGTTGGAATAACGGTAAATGCGTCCCGTTATCGGCGCAATTGTCCATTTTCCGTTAAATTATGGGCGCAATCGACCGCGATCGGTGTGAATCCGTGACCCACCGCAAAAACCATGAATAGTGGTTTCGGACGGTGGCGCGGCCGTTATAGTGTTTTCGGAACGCTATTTGATACCATGTGTGATATACATATATCATGTAGAGTTAAGGGATTCTACTCGAACATAAAAATCAATCCAATAATTATAAAAAATTGAGTTTTTAAGTCTTATTTTATAATTTAAACTTTATTTAATAACGCTATTTTAAGATAGCTTTGCATTACATTCATCATAGTATACATTCATGTTACTCATTACATTTATCTTAGTTTTTAAGATGTTCACGTGTTATTCATGTTATGCATTCGTCTAAGCATATTTCCATAATAGCATACATATTATTCATATAGTTCATTTGCATATCTTTATGTTTCATGTTTTCATTCATTCATCATGCCCATTGTTAAAAACGTTTTGCACTCACATTCACATAACATCATGTTAGGTAGCATATTTGCATTCATTCAGCATGTGTTTTTCATTTAATATAAATTATCATTCATGTGCATTCATTTTGTCATTCACTTGCATTCACATTTAAACAGCATGTTATCATTTATTTTAATTCACACATGTCATTTATTTTAGTTGGTGCACATATGCACGACAGTTCACTATTATAATACATTCATTTTAGTTGATGCACACATGCATGACAGCTCATTATATTATAATGCATTCATTCCAGCACATTTTAATTAATTTACTTGTTTATCATTCCCTTGCACATGTAGGCTCGAACAGCTTGTAGAATCTGGTAGAAACAGCTTGGTATACGTCAAACAAGCATGAGAACAGCCTATTAAAGCACTATCACGACACACACCATTCAGCATAGCATAATACACAATTATAACAGTTTGTGGAGCATAATAAAGGTTGAACTTATGTGGGAGACAATTTATGTTGGAGCACTAAGGGACATCCATTCAGCAAAGCATAAACATCACACAAAGAGAGGAGGAGCAGCACGTGGAACATAAAAATCAGCCCCATGCTTGATAACTCAGCTATGCACTCACACATATTGGAGACATGTCATACACGCCCATAATGAATCAATTTGCAGCATTGTCTTTGACCAGCCCATGCTTGAAGATCATCACTCACGCCTGTTGAAGGAGAATCATAATGCTGCACATTCACCTTATTTTCTTTATTTAATCATCCCATAATGAACAAACAGCAAGATATCACGTTGGAGAAACATTATGAAGATATAAACAACTCATTGGATCATGAAACACGTTGAAGACATGAATAACTAGTGGAACAACTAATTGGAGCACAAAACAACATTTTCAAATTCCATATGACACCCATAATTCTGCACATGGACAACACTCACCATTTGGAACAAAGATGCACTACACGGTTATCTACCTCACCATTCTGCGTGCCAAATAAACAAGTCATGTGCAAGACTTGTGTGTTTCCACTTAAGCATCAGATTAAAGAAACACAAGTGTTAATTCAACCCCATCTATTCATTCTGATACATATGGTTCCTATCTCTTTGTAGATAGAGGGTTAAAGTGTTTATTATCATCCCTTAATGAAGCAATATAAAGTCTAAGTCTTTGTTCTTTAACATTGTTCCTTCTTTGAGTCTTCTTAAGATATTACATTTCATATTCATTTCCATCACTTCATTCTATTCCATTTACCATACTTCATCATTACCATTAAAACTATAACCATCATATATATATATTCCGCTGCCATATTATCTATCCATTCCATTACTTCCATTTAACCATTCTATTATCAGTTTCTTGTTTATGTAGAATACTTGTTGCTTTCCTAGATCGAAACATCAGAGGTACAACCGTGACTTCCGAGGAATGCAAGGTTGGGATCGTATCATATGGTATCAGAGAAATGTTATTTTGTGCTCTAATTAGTTGTTTCACTAGCTATTCATGTCTTCAACGTGTTTCATGATCTAAGGAGTTGTTTATATTTTCATAATGCTTCTTCAATGTGATATCTTGTTGTTTGTTTATTATGGGTTGATTAAATAAAGAAAACAAGGTGAATGTGCAACATTATGATTATCCTTCAATAGGCGCGAGTGATGATCTTCAAGCATGGGCTGGTCAAAGACAATGCTGGAAATTGATTCATTATGGGCATGTATGACGTCTCCAATATGTGTGAGTGCATAGCTGAGTCATCAAGAATGTGGCTGATTTTTGTGTTCCAAGTGCTGCTCCTCCTCTCTTTAAGTGCTTCTCCTCCTCTCTTTGTGTGCTGTTTATGCTTTGCTGAATGGATGTCCCTTATTGCTCCAACATAAAATATCTCCCACATAAGTTCAACCTTTATTATGCTCCACAAAATGTTATAATTGTGTATTATGCTCTGCTGAATGATATGTGTCGTGATAGTGCTTCAACAGGCTGTTCTCATACTTGTTTGACGTGTACCAAGCTGTTTCTACCAGATTCTACAAGCTGTTCGAGCCTACATGTGCAAAGGAATGATAAACAAGAAAATTAATTAAAATGTGCTGGAATGAATGCATTATAATATAATGAGCTTCCATGCATGTGTGCATCAACTAAAATGAATGTATTATAATAGTGAACTGCCGTGCATGTCTGCACCAACTAAAATGAATGCCATGTGTGATTTAAAATAAATGATAACATGCTGTTTGAATGCACGTGAATGACAGAATGAATGCACATGAATGATAATTTATATTAAATGAAAAACACATGCTGAATGAATGCAAATATGCTACCTAAACATGTTATGTGAATGTGAGTGCAAAACGTTTTTAACAATGGGCATGATGAATGAATGAAAACATGAAACATAATGATATGCAAATGAACTATATGAATAATATGTATGTTATTATTGAAATATGCTTAGATGAATGCATAACATGAACAACACGTGAACATCTTAAATACTAAGATAAATGTAACGAGTAACATGAATGTATACTATGATAAATGTGATGCAAAACTATCTTAATATGTTGAACATATTTAAACAGCAATGTGTATGATGGAATGATAAGTATGCTATCATTATATGAATACATGCTGATTAGTAATGCAAGATTATTCTAATATGCAAGAATGAATACATGCTTAATATGTATGCAAACTAGTATGAGATAATAACATGCTTGAAATGAGTTGATGAACTAATTAAAAACATGTAATGATATGCATAGTTATTTTAACATGACATCTAATACATAAATAAGTAAATATAATATAAAGTAAGGAAGAACTCCCTTAGATTGATCCTGATAGAAAGTCCATGAAGTGTTCACGTTATAAAGAAAGTCGGTGCTAAACAGGATCACATCATCGATGATGTGATCTTGTTTAGCACCAACTTTTTGCATGACATACTCACATCATTGAAGATCCATCAAGATCAATCCAAGGGAGTTCTTCCTTAATTTATATTATATTTACTCATTTATGCACTACATATTATTATAAGCATACATTTGCAATATAAACTATGATTCAATAATCATATGTTATCATTCATTCATAAGCTCATGTCACGTTACTTTAAGCATATGTTTTTTCATATTAGTTTTGCATCCATCTAAGTATGTTTCAATTCATTCATGAAATGATAGCGTATTTATCATTACCACATGCATCTTGTTATTTTTAATTAGATTGGCTTGCATTAGCATTTGTCATGGTAGCATATTTACATTCATTCAACATTCACATTGTTAAAGCACATCATGTGTTTTCATTTAATTAAATTATCATTCATATGCATTCATATGCATTCATTTTATCATTCACGTGTATTCACTTTCAAACAGCATGATATCATTTATTTTTAATTCACACATGGTATTCATTTTAGTTGATGCACACATGCACAACAGCTCATTATATTATAATGCATTCATTCCAGCACATTTTATTTAATTTACTTGTTTATCATTCTCTTGCACATGTAGCTACGAACAACATATAGAATCTGGTACAAAACAGCTTGGTTACATGTCAAATAGCATGGAACACTTGTTAACAGCTTGTTGGAGCACTATAAAGAAATACACCAATCAGTAGAGCATGGGACACGATGATATCAATCTGTTGAAGCATTTTGGAGGCTGACACACATGCTGGACAATTTTTGAGCACTTAGAAAACACAGCTCACAAAACATGGCAGCAAAGTTTATGGGAATATGGTACACGTTTGTAACAGCTTGGATGAGCATTTTGAAGAAAAAAATAAGTCCTTGGATCATGAAACACGTTGGAAGCTAGTGGAACAACTAAGTGGAGCATAAGACAGAATTTCCAGATTCCATAAGACACGCCCATGCTGCACATTCTAGCTTTGTCTTCTTTTAATAAACCCATGCTTGATGACTCAGCTATGCACTCACACATATTGGAGACATGTCATACACGCCCATAATGAATCAATTTCCAGCAATGTCTTTGACCATCCCATGTTTGAAGATCATCACTCACGCCTGTTGGAGGAGAACTATAATGATGCACATGTTTTCAGTTTATATTATTGCACAAGAATATTTCTCCAAAACACAGCCATGTGCGTATGAACAGCAAGACATTGGACTCCATTTAGCATCAACTTGAGGAGACATGAGTGTTACGCGGCCATGAAGAGTTGTCTATCCATTTACACCGAATCATCACCTTAATTCATGGATAATTATGAACTAAAAATATCTTTTAGTAAGACATAATAGCTGGTTAAATACCACGATTCTTTTTGGTTAAATCTTTCAAACATCTTAAATAAGCTTTGTTTCATTTTGTTGACAGAATTTGATGAATTAAAACTATTGTGAGGTTTTCTCTCAATTTGAATATTCTTAGATCTATCTTCTTGACATTTCAAGTCTGATCTTGTATTGTCAATCCTTTGATACTTTGGGTTCTTAGATTGCTATCTAACAGGTCCAAGTCCTTGAACATTGAACGTATAAGGTTTGGATTTATACTTGTTAGTATAAGTTCTTCCTTGTTCTTTGTTATTATCCAATTTCCAGCATCCTAAATTCCATTACCACATCTATTATTCATCCTTATTCATTTTCGTTCATAGCCATACCCATATAACCACACCATCATCCTTACTATCAAGTGAGTTTACTATAGAGGAATTACTTACTTCGTTCTAGATCCGTTACAATCGAAGAGGTCCTCAATCGACGGGCTGACTCGTATCATAATACATGCTGATTAGTAATGCAAGACTATTCTAATATGCAAGAATGAATACATGCTTAATATGTATGCAAACTAGTATGAGATAATAACATGCTTGAAATGAGTTGATGAACTGATTAAAAACATGTTGTAATGATATGCATAGCTATTCTAACATGACATCTAATGCATAAATAAGTAAATATAATATAAAGTAAGGAAGAACTCCCTTAGATTGATCCTGATAGAACGTCCATGAAGGGTTCATGTTATGGAGAAAGTCGGTGCTAAAACAGGATCACATCATCCCCCTTCTTTAATGCGATTTGTCCTCAAATCGATGCTTGATACATATGAGAACAACTTGATCTTTGTTTGAATGGAGGTTCCTTCATTTTCATCTTGCATCGTTTGCTTTGCTCAGAATGCTTCACATGTTCAAGTCTTTCCTTCTAATTCAACAACTGAAAAATGAAACAAGGTTAGAAGTAGATGATTTAGACTCAAATGAAAGAAAAGGATCAGATTCATGAATGAATGAGTTTGGACTCTTAATGTTCTCCATGGTTAGGTTCATCAAATCTTCCCTTTCATAAGGTTCATTCGATCTTGAGTATGAGGTGAATGTACTTGGAAGGTTAATGGACATGTCTTCTATAATTTCAAGTGACACATCTTTTGGAATTTCAAAAGGAATGATGCTTGAATCATCTTGAATGTCCCTCGGAATAACCTGCAAATTCAAAGAATGAATAGAAGGAAAAAATTGATTAGTATCATATGGTAATCAGAGCTAAGGTGGATTGTAATAAGAACAAGCAAAAGCAATATCCTACCATTAAAAAGAAACGAAAATCAAAAAGAGAAGTACAAATCAGCAAGTTAATCCAAGTATCAACAAGGGATTCCAAGCAAAAGCACTTCTTTGCCAAAGGTAACAAACAACATCCTAAAGAAGTTTTGAAGACCTTTGATTGTTTCTTCTAGGAATGTGGTGAGTATCTTTGAACAATAAGTGAACATTTCTTACTTTTTTAAGACCACCCTTCATTATTTAACCTTTCTACCTTTTTATTTTTTTTCTCTACACTAACGAACTTTTTAGCCGACGTCCATGGCACTTAAAAAGTCTCGAGTTAGTCCTTTTAAGAACATTACAAGAGAGGAACGAGTGCACGACTGTGAGTGACATTTTTTCCTTTCTTTGGAGTGTATTGGTGAGGTTTATTTGTCATTTTTTTATTACTAATAATGTCTTGTACTTCTAGAGATAATTTTTATTTCAGGAGGTAACGCCCAAAATGATGGCCATGCACCAAACTTGGAAATGGAAGCCATGACACGAGATAAGGAGTTTGTTTCGAAAGTATCTCGACCCAATCTCAAAGTAATTGGACCAAATTATAGAACGACGTTCTTGTTCACAAACGCGTTCAACGAAGATCAATACACAACTAAAAAGGAGAGACGACACTCAATCCTTTTCTAGTTCTACACCTAATTACAGTAGAGGGTCCTAATTTTCGAAACAATGCCAAAAGCTCAACGCTAAGGAACCAAGGAATTTTGCATGTTTCAATCCAGAAAATCTAGCTCGTCTTCAAGAGTGTGTTGACAATCTCATCAAAGAAACACAATTGCAAAGACAACTAGAAAAAGGAATTGTTTGCAAAAAAATGAAGGAGCGAGAGTTGAAAAAGACATTGAGAGCATTGAAAATGAGAAAATTGATGTGAGAAATGTTGGAGTTGAAAATGAGAATAAAAGCATTGAGATTGAATTTGAGTGTGTTGAAAAACTATTAACAAAATGAATAGAACTAGCAAACCAGGGTGGATGTTTAATGGGCTATCCACCTTAGCTTTGATTACCATATGAAACGATCCCAACCTTGCATTCCTCCGAAGACACGGTTGTACCTTTGATGTTTCGATATAGGAAAGCAACAAGTATTCTACATAAACAAGATCTTACAAAGAGGATCCCAATTTTTGAAACAATGCCAAAAGCTCAACGCTAAGAGAGCCAAGGAATTTTGCATGTTTCAATCCAGAAAATCTAGCTCGTCTTCAAGAGTGTGTTGACAATCTCGTCAAAGAAACAATTGCAAAGACAACTAGAAAAAGGAATTGTTTGCAAAAAAGATGAAGGAGCGATAGTTGAAAAAGACATTGAGAGCATTGAAAATGAGAAAATTGATGTGAGAAATGTTGGACTTTGGTTTAAAATGAAAATTGTGAGAGTTTAACTCTTTAGTTCTTAATTGAACTTTATCGACTTATCAAGCTTATGCTTGTGGCGTCCACCCCATCTATTCATCCTGATACTTATGGTTCCTATCTCGTTATAGATGGAGGGTTACCATCGCTTAATGAAGCAATATAAAGTCTAGGTCTTTGTTCTTTAACATTGATTCTTCTTTGAGTCTTCTTGAGATACTACCTTCCATAATCATTTCCATCATAATCGTTCTATTCCATTTACCACACTTTATCATTTCCATTAAAACTATCACCATTATATACTTATATTTTCCGCTGCCATACTATCTATCTATTTCATTACTTCCATTTAACCATTCTATTTTAAGCTATTTGTTTGTGAAAGATACTTGTTGCTCTCCTAGATCGAAACATCAAAGGTACAACCTCGTCTTCCGAGGAATGCTAGGTTGGATCGTATCATGTGGTAATCAGAGCTAAGGTGGATTACAACAAGAACAAGCAAAAGCAATATCCTACCATTAAAAGGAAACGAAATAAAAAAGAGAAGTACAAATCAGCAAGTTAATCCCAGTGTCAACAAGGGATTCCAAGCAAAAGCACTTCTTTGCCAAAGGTAACAAACAACATCCTAAAGAAGTTTTCAAGACCTTTGATTGTTTCTTCTAGGAAGGTGGTGAGTATCTTTGCACAGTACGTGAACCTTTCTTCCTTTTTTAAGACCACCCTTCATTATTTAACCTTTCTACCTTTTTATTTTTTTCTCTACACTAACGAACTTTTTAGCCGACGTCTATAGCACTTGAAAAGTCTCGAGTTAGTCCTTTTAAGAACTTTACAAGAGAGGAACGAGTGCACGACTGTGAGTGACTTTTTTTCCTTTTTTTGGAGTGTATTGGTGAGGTTTATTTGTCATTTTTTTATTACTAATAATGTCTCGTACTTCTAGAGACAATTCTCTTATTTCAGGAGGTGACGCCCAAAATGATGGTCATGCACCAAACTTGGAAATGGAATCCAGGACACGAGAGATAAGGAGTTTGTTTTGAAAGTATATCGACCCAATCTCAAAGAAATTGGACCAAATTATAGAACGACGTTCTTGTTCACAAACGCGTCCAACGAAGATCAATACACAACTAAAAAGGAGAGACGACACAATCATTTTCTAGTCTACACCTAATTGTAGTGGAGGATCCCAATTTTCGAAACAATGCCAAAAGCTCAAAGCTAAGAGAGCCAAGGAATTTTGCATGTTTCAATCCAGAAAATCTAGCTCGTCTTCAAAAGTGTGTTGACAATCTCGTCAAAGAAACACAATTGCAAAGACAACTAGAAAAAAGAATTGTTTGCAAAAAAGATGGACCGAGAGTTGAAAAAGACATTGAGAGCATTAAAAATGAGAAAATTGATGTGAGAAATGTTGGACTTTGGTGTAAAATGAAAATTGTGAGAGTTTATCTCTTTAGTACTTAATTGAACTTTATCGACTTATCAAACTTATGCTTGTGGCGTCAACCCCATCTATTCATCCTGATACTTATGGTTCCTATCTCGTTATAGATGGAGGGTCAAAGTGCTTATTACCATCCCTTAATGAAGCAATATAAAGTCTGGATCTTTGTTCTTTAACATTGGTTCTTCTTTGAGTCTTCTTAAGATACTACCTTCCATA